GTTAGGCGATGGATGGATATGGGTTCAGTCTACTATTGTTTCTTCTTTATAAATGTTTGAATTTTCAAGGCAGAGCACACCTGTAACCCTAGCACTCTGGGAGGCTGAGGTGGCTGGATAGCTTGAGCTCAGGAGTTAGAAGCCAGCCTGAGCAAGAGTGAGACCACCTCAAAAAAACAAAAAAAACCTGGGCATTGTGGCAGCTGCTTGGGGGGCTGAGGCAGGAGGATTGCTTGAGCCCAAGAGTCTGAGGTTGTTGTGAGCTCTGATGCCATGGCACTCTATCTAGGGTAACAAAGTTAGACTCTGTCTCAAAAAAAAAAAAAAAAAAAAGTTAGAATTTTCTAAAATGAAAGTTCCTTAAAACTAATACTGAAGGCTATATTGCCTGCTAGTTTTGTTTTATTTTGAGACAGAAAAAACAACTTATACACTAAACTTTTATGATAGCTCTTACCATTTTGCACTATGTAAAATTTGTTTAAATCAAGTTTCTTTTCACGTCTAAGAGAGAAACTTGTATATATTAAATGTTGATCAATTGAATTAAAACTGAAATAATCACTTTTTTCCATGAAGTAAAAATTGTAGAATCTTATTCTAAATTTCATTATTGAATACTGGCTTTTTCTTTGCTATTCATCTCTTTTTTTTTTTTTTTTTGAGACAGAGACTCAAGCTGTCCCCCTGGGTAGAGTGCCATGGCTTCACTGCTCACAGCAACCTCCAACTCCTGGGTTCAAGTGAGTCTCCTGCCTCAGCCTCCCAAGTAGCTGGGACCACGGGCGCCCACCACAACACCCGGCTATTTTTTGGTTGCAGCCATTATTGTTGTTTGGTGGGCCCGGGCTGAATTTGAACCCACCAGCTTAGGTGTATGTGGCTGGCGCCTTAGCCACTTGAGCCACAGGCGCCAAGCCTATTCATCTCCATTTTTAGAGTTTTACTCTCATCTGTTTTACATCTCAATTTTTATTTTTTCTGGCCAAGTACAGAAATAATTTCTCTTGGACCTTAGTTTTCTGCTAATAACAAACTTTGTCTCCCATCTTTATATATTTTGGCTGGAATTAATTATTAAGTTGTACAATTTAAATTTAAGTTTTTAAATTTAAATTAAATTTTTCCTCTATATTTTTCTGAAGTTACTACCATTTCTCTCTCTCTCTTTTATATGAAGCTTTAGAGCCTTTGTTGATTTTTCAAAACCTGAATGATTATGGAATGTAGTGTGGGTCAATGTTCTGAGCTAGACTGATTATTCAAATGACTTTCCCTATCCTGGAACAACATCAGCTGTATGGGGCAAAAAAGCCAGGAAGTGAATGGGTGTCAAGAAAGCTATTCTGAAGCTTACAATCTATCGTTAAAACCAGTTATTACTATTCCTAGAAATGGTACTCACTGTGCTTTTCTCTCTCATTTCTGATTTATATAAATGTAACATCTTCTGGATTGACAGTTGATAATATGACAATCAAGTATTTTTTTGTAGGAAATGTGTTATTGTTCAGGTATGTTACTCATCAGCCTTGTGAGCTAGGTTCTTCCATGTAAGTATAAAGTCGTGGAATTTTACCAAAATCCATTTCTCTGATTCATTTATAACTTATTAGGGAAGCAGTTGGAAAGTACTGCTGTTCTGCTAACTATCCAGATACATTGGCATAGGTATTAATTTCTCTGTGTTTCAGTTTCCTTGCCTGTTAATCTCTGAGTTGGACTGGATAATCTCCAAAGACTCTTTCAGCTCAAAACTTCCCTGAATTTCGTTTCTTTTTTCCAACTTCTGAAATAGCATAAACTTTGACTTCTTTTTCAGAGCTTTTCTGTATGTTTCTACTCTACTTGATGCAGTGGATTATTCTTCAGAATTTAGAGAAAAAGTCATACTTTTTAAAAAGAAGTACCACGAAACTTGACAAATTAGCACTTAAACTTTGTTGGGGAGAATTATGGATGGAGTGCTGTTGCATAGATATCCTGTGTCTGCCTAATGCATGTTTTCAGTTGATTGGGTGTTGCTAAAAGTGAGCAATTTAAATTATCTACCTGCAATTTAATTCTTCTAGATCTCTAGTTTTTAATCTTACAAGTGGTTAGTATGCATTTAAATGAAACCATGAAATGGTATACAATATAATTTACATTTTTAGTACTTAAGTATTAAACTCTTATTATATCATTCATAGATATTTGTTGCAAAGTATGTGTAGCAGTTTTTAGTACTTTCTTCCATATGCATTTAGATTGCAGTAGCCAGTGTGTAGAAAAATTTACAAAAAATAGGTAAGAAAAGGGACATACATAATCATTAAGCCAGGTGAGCCAAATCTTTAGACATGAAGCCTACTTTTAAAGACAAGGCTAATATATAAGTCATATAATGAGCAAAAAGATAATTCTAACCTTAATGGCTACAGTTCCCCCAAGAAATGTCTCTATAACAATTTATTTTACTAAGTGCTTATCTCTGTTTCATCCTGATTATTTTAATTTGGGATATTTGACTTTCTAAGGGCTTTAACAACTTTTTTTTTATCCCAAATAAGTCATTTAAGAAGTTTTCTGTTTCTTTCCTTCTTCAGTACATTCAACATTTCTCTGAAACTTCCTTTAGCCTCTATGATGTATTATCCTCACTCAGAATCTACCTTGAAGTTAATTTTTCTCTGCTTTAGGAAACATCAGTTGCTCCCCGCCCCCCCCCCCCC